CTATCTCGGTGACCTACCGGTGCTGTCTACCTCCCCCACCTCCTTCGTCTCTCCTCCCACCTTTCATCTGTGTATGTGTGTACAGGATCTGGGCATCGTCCATGCTTGGCCCAGACAACACCATCTCACGATTGTATGTGTATGGAGTGATTCTTGAGTCAGTCTATGTGAGTCAGTCCGTTTATCAGACTTCCGCTGCATATATGCTCATCCTACATTGGTTGATCTTTGGTTCTGCCCATACTCATTGAAGTATGTAACAGATGCCCACGAATATTGGCCAGCGAAGGATGATGACTAACAGATGCAGGTCGCTGAACAAGGCCGGTCCCAGACTGGAATGAAGTCCCACCTATGGTGCCTAGGTAAGTCTCTCTCACCCTCATGGCTATGGCCACCTCCAGCCTGTCCTTTCCGGACTACTGTCTGGCTCCTCTAACGCTGCTACTCTGCCGCAGCTCTCCCAAACTGGCGCTGTACTCCAGCAGTGTCCCAACTGGTGCTCCAGCAGACTGTTCTCAAACTGGACTTGCCCAGCTATATACCGCTGGGCCTGGCTGGGCTGCCCTCGGTCTGCAATCAGGAACGTTCGATCTAGAGTCCGATCGATGGTCCTGATCACAGGCCCCAGTAACTCGGCCTGCCTGGGTCCCTACCGGAATTTCAGGTGGCCCTAGAATGAACAAGGGCTGGGCCACGCACTACAGACAAGTGCCTGGTCCAGTTCAGATGCGTATGAAACTGAACCTGGCCTACAACGGCCAAAAATGGAATCCACTGGTCCGAGCAGACATCAATGCCTGTTTGGAGAAAGGAAACATCCAAAACAACACCATCTGGAACTGTTACATGCCCAGTTGGGCGATGTACATAATAACCGAGGATCCGCAATGTGATAAAAAGGACTGAATGGACAATGCAGTGCAAGTAGAATCCCAACAAGCAGTGTGCATTCCGATACATACAAAAATGGTGCTTTATAGCGCAGTGGAAGACTTAGATACAAGTCCTGACCTGGCTGGGACTGACCTCCTTTACGTAGTACAAGATAGCGAAGCAGAAGGCTAGAATACTAATGACGAGCCCAATCAATGTCTCAATGCAGACTAAACATACATCATCCTCACCACCAGGTGTGAAGGGGCCTGGCGCTATACGCAGGAAGAGGCGCCAGATCCAGCCATGCACAGACGAAGAGGAGGGGAGAGATGGGAAAGTCGTCGACACCAAGTCTCGTTACACGTCCCCAATAATCCCTCGTCAAAATGTCTGAAGTCCAATGTCGAGTCTGGATTCAAATGTCACCAAGCTCTCTCTCTCTCTCTCTCTCTCTCTCTCTCTCTCTCTCTCTCTCTCTCTCTCTCTCTCTCATAGTCTGCTGATGCAGTGAAGTCAGCAGATGTCGCCAATGGGTGGCCGTGACCGGACCCGACCGGACCCAGCTGTAACCGGCAGTTTTGGATGGGGTGCGGGTATGCCCCCAAAGGATATGCAGTGGTGCGGCTGGGTGTGAATATGTGTGAGAATATGCTGGGTGGAATTGGGCAGGGTGGGAAAGTTTCAGTGGGGCATGGCTGGGCAGGGTGGGAAAGTTTCAGTGGGCCATGGCTGGGTGTTGTCCCGATTCCCTGGGTGGGTACGGCTGGGTGGAGGCTTGGCGTGGGTGACCCGAAGCTTGTAGGCCATAAAACGAGTATAGGTACTAGCCTTCTAGGTAGTAGGTACTAGGTAGTATTAGGGCCAGGCAAAAATATAAACTTACCGTGGGCCCTTTTCACTGACAATGTGGCAGGTATTGGGGTCGTATTAGTAAGAAATCGGCCCCCTCGTTTTTATTTTCGTACTGTTCCTCTTTTTCACCTGTAGTGGGACGCTATGCAGAGTCGCAGACCAACGAGCCTCATTCCACTACTCACCAAATGTGTAAAATGGGAATGAATCTTGCTGTACTTCATGGGAAGATTCACCGCCTTTTTGTTTTGTTTTTTTGTGCATGTGTGAGCAGTGGAGCGGCCGCTCCACTGCTCACACATGCACAAAGACCAAAAAAAAAAAGGCGGTGAATCTTCCCATGAAGCACCGCAAGATTCATTCCCATTTTACACATTTGGTGAGTAGTGGAGTGAGCCCACCCAACCTGTAGAAGCTGGTGCCAAAATTTCGAAGTTGAACTTCGAAACTTCGACTGGCACGGGGGGTTGGGTTGCTCCACTGCCATTTGCTCACTCCGGCGGCAGTGAGCGAGGGAGGTGTGCTAATGCAAGCGTTAGGGCGCGGCTATTGCGAGGGGCAATAGTGGGGAAAGCAGGCGCAGCAATAGCTACAGCAAGGCGAGCTTGATGGCGCGTGGCTATGCTGGCACAGCGGCAAGCTTGCAACAGCGGTGAGCGACGAGCGTGCAGCCTTTGCGGGGAGAGAGAGAGAGAGAGAGAGAGAGAGAGAGAGAGAGAGAGANCCAGCCGCGTCACCGCCGGACCCACGCATTTCTCACATCTTGGACGAGTATAGAGACGTCTTCGAGGCTCCYACCGGAACGGTTCCGGATCGGCCCATACGTCACGGGATCACTCTCGAGGCTGGTGCCATCCCTCCGGGTGGATGTATCTACCGCATGAGCGAAGAGGAACTCGAGGTACTTCGCGCACAACTCAATGACCTTCTCGACAAGGGCTGGATTCGCCCTAGTTGCTCGCCATACGGTGCCCCTGTTCTCTTCGTCCGGAAGAAGAACAAAGACCTACGGTTATGCATCGATTATCGGAAACTTAACACACAAACCGTAAAGAACGCCGGCCCTCTCCCTCGGATTGATGATCTTCTTGAGCGGTTAGGCGGCGCGACGTACTTCTCGAAGTTGGACTTGAAGTCAGGATACCACCAGATTGAAATCCAKCCTCAAGACCGGTACAAGACCACGTTCAAGACGCGGTACGGGCATTTTGAGTGGGTTGTCATGCCCTTTGGCCTCACCAATGCCCCCGCGATTTTCCAAGCAGCAATAACGACTGAGTTTCACGACTTGCTCGATCGCAGCGTCCTCATCTACCTTGATGACATCTTGGTTTACAGTAGGACGGTGGACGAGCACATCGTACACCTTCGCGTTGTTTTGAAACATTTGCGACTAGCCAAGTACAAAGCGAATCTCGACAAGTGCCAATTCGCCAAGCAAGAGCTTGAGTACTTAGGTCATTTTATCACGCCGAAAGGCATTCGTCCCTTAGCGGACAAGATCCAAGCCATCGTGGATTGGCCGGAACCCCGTTGTACGACGGATGTACGGTCTTTCATAGGTTTGGCTGGATATTATCAGCGATTCATCGAGTCATACTCCAAAGTGGCCGCTCCTTTGTCRAGACTTCAGTCCCCGAAGGTGCCCTTCGAGTTCGACGACGCAGCCCGTGACGCTTTCGCTACGTTGAAGGCAGCAATGCAAGCCGCACCTGCCCTCCGTATATATGACCCCACCCTTCCCACCCAAGTGACTACGGATGCTTCGGGGTACGGTATTGGTGCGGTGTTGGAACAGTGTCACAAGGACGGTTGGCATCCGGTCGAGTACTTCTCCCAAAAGGTGCCTCTCGTTAACACTCTCGACGACGCTAGGAAGAAAGAGCTACTCGAGTTTGTCACCGTTCTTAAACGGTGGCGCCACTTTCTTCTCGGCCGTCGGCGTTTTAAATGGAATACGGACAACAATCCGTTGACCTTTTACAAAACGCAGGATACGGTCACTAGCACGATCGGTCGATGGATGTA